AGTAAAGATAGGGGAAAATTTTATTTCTTTAAATATGATATAAAATATACACTGGTTATCATAAATTAAGGAAAAATCACGATTACTATAAAAGTTATATGTAGAATTTTATGAAAGTTACAAACAATATACAACACAGAGTAAGGTATCAAATAACATAAAAAGAAATTAGACAATTATGGTAGTATAGAAATTAACACATGTATGAAATGAACAAATCGAAGATGTCAGGCTATAGTAAAAGTACCTTCAATATGGAATATAATCGCCTCTAGAAGCAATACAGCACATTCAGCGTTGCGTGATGCTTTCAATTATGCGGTCTATCAGTTCCATAGGAAGCGAGAGCCCTCGTTCTTGCAAAGCTGTTGCAAGCGCGGAAAGGGTCTAAGGGGGTGGATTAAGAGCAGCTAGACGTCTCCCTAAAACATCCGAAACGTGTTCGATAGGATTCAAGTCCGGGGATCGAGCTGGCCACTCCATGCGCATAATTGTTTCCTGTTGAAGATAATCATATACGATGCAAGTCCTGTGTGGTCTTGCATTGTCGTCCTGTAACAGGAAAGCATCACCTATTGCCCCGGCATATGGGCTCATATAAGTATCAAGGATGTCATCTCTATAAACATGAGCATTCACGGTTCCCCTTGGAAAAACATGGAAGTCTCTGCGTCCACCCAAAGAGATGCCACCCCAAACACAGACACTGCCTCTTCCGTATGCATCTCTTTCACGGATGTTTGACGGATTATAAGGAGTTCCAGGTTCTCCCCATATCAAATAACGCCTATTATCGCTTTCTAGACTAAGCCTGGACTCATCCTTTAAGAAAATAGCCCTCCATTGCTCAGGCGTCCAGTGGACATTTTGTCGTGCCCACTGCAAACGGTCCCTCCTATGGCGAGACTTGAAAGGCACGCAAATGGTTGTTCGCCTCGCATACAGACGACCTTTGTGAAGCCTTCTGCGCACAGTTGAAGCTGAAACTAACCTCCTGGTGGCTGCAGCAAGGGAGGATCTAATAAGAGTCGGAGTCGCGGTTATATTCCTGAGTGCACATAATGTCAAATATCGGTCATCGGCGCTCGTCGTAGCAGTTGGCCGTCCTTGGCTGAACCTCCTAGATGCCGAATCTGTGATTTGAAATTGCCTCCAAAATCTATGAACCAAAGGAGTCACATTTAGCCATCTGGCCACTTCTGTTTGACTTTGTCCTGCTTCTAGTCTCCCAATGGCTCTCTATCGTAATTCTACAGGCAAATGATACCTGGAGGTCATTGTTACGAATTGGCTATCTCAGATATCTGATGTCACTATCACAGTGAAATATGTGGGCTTGCTCTCAAACATGGACTTTTATGCTCCTCCCAGATGACGCATTCCGAGTGCAGCGCCACTAATTTGCATATTGGAGTTTTACTCAGCTACTCTCACTTAGCAACATATTCAAATTTTACAGGGTTTGTCTTATTTTTGAGGGAGTTATCACTATTTTTGTGATTTTTCCTTAATTTATGATAACTAGTGTATTTAAATTTACACTTCATAAAAAAACAAATAACTTTAGAAAAAAAGGTTTGATGATCATGTTTGAGAGAAATATGTAAAAATTAAGTAAAATTTTTTAGGGAATCTTAAAAATAAACGGGCTCACCACCGGCTGAGCCGTGAAGTTGCTGAACACTTGTACTCTCGCCTGATTTCGATTTTAGGTAGACGGACAGGCTGCATGGCGTTTTCGTGGTTTCCCCATGTGTGACGTGTATACGAGCCAGTTTACCTTTGAAAGACCTCCACAATTGCATCCTTCCCCTTAGACAAATAGCCGTTGCGTACTTTACCGCGATTAAATAAACCAAACTTTAATATAAATTCAGTCAAATGATTGCTTAAAAAGAACTACTCGCAAAATTCCCTGGTAAGAAATAAGAACTCCATCATAATTATTTCACGTGTCTAGTTATTTGCAAATGGACACTGACAGGTAATAATCAGATAATTATTCTATTTTATGATTCTCGTTTGCAATGTATTGATTTTACAGTTTCTTTATTTCTCATAAATATGCATCCATTTTTATTTGGGAATTGTTCCATTCCGAACTTTAATGAAAGTGCTCCGAGTGAGGTTTAACGATATTTGAAATCTACATGATTATATGATTATGACAGGCGCCCAACCGGGATAGTGGTTAGCGACAGTGGTTAGCGACTTTGACTGCCGTACTGAAGGGCGCGGTTTTAACCCGTAGGGAAAGACGGGAGGGAGACCCTCGGGACGGATGCTATCACCTGCATGGTGCTTAAGGATCTTGCCAACGACAGGCGCAGTCTTGCACTCCTTGCCACAATGAACTTAGCGAGCTTGTTCTGATGTTATTGTCTGATAAGTGAGATAAGTGACAGCACATGATTGCCCCAAACCAACTAGAGCAGCGGTTCTCAACCTTTTGACTAACACGAACCATCTAAACAAAAACTGAAAAACTTTAGTACAACCATTACATTTTACAATGATTTTTTTTTTTTTTTTTTGTTTTGTTTTTTTGTTTCTGAATAGAAATATTAAAAAAAATATATTTTGCCCATTTGTACAACCTGTTGGCTATTTGTATTAAAAATACACACATAGAAAGTATTAGATTAAACATTGCTTACCATTTTAATTATCAAGATTTAAGTTCTAATGTTTAATTCTAAAATTTATTGTGAAATTTGGGCTTGTTTATGAGAGATCAGTTTCTTTATGTCTGGTCATACTTCACTTAACTTTAGCCGTAAATTAGAGTCCACTTTGAATTTTGCTCTGCATTTTTTTTTTTTTTTTTTTTTCCAAATATAACACAGAAGAAAATCCTTATTCACACAAATAGGTTGTGCAAAAACGGAATAAAATTTTAATAACTTTATTTGAAATGCCTTTAAATTCTTTTTTTCAGTTCAGCCAAAAGTTAACAAGACTGTTATTTTTTAAATCTTCAGTTAAAGTTCAATCACAGAAAATTTCTATCAATTGTTCTTTTTCTTCATGGGATGTTTGAATTTGATCGTTAAAAATATTTTTTCACTTATTTTGTTTTTTTCATTTTGTCATTTTTCTCTTTCGCACCACCGGTTGAGAATCGCTGAAATAGAGTATTTTCCCTTTCTCAATTTAGTCCCTCTTGATTCAATTTAGCCTTAGTCTTTTAATTTAATTTCAAACAAATTAGCTATTTTTGAAATATTTGTATTATTGACCATTTGCTACTGTGGAATTTTTTGCAGTTTTTCGATTAATACTGCTACAAATTATTGCTTTACAGATAAAATTTCTTATGGAATATATATATTGTTACGTTTTTTTCTGACACCAGTTGTTGCGTTCGTACGGGGTTCGTAGATTTGGAGTGAATAACAATGACACTTGACGAAGTATTGAAACATACTTTATTTGCCAATATTAATCAGGACAGCTCCAAAACACTTTTACAGTCGTCTAACTGTTATAAACACACTGATACGTTCAGCGACACAGCCTTCAACACTCTCAGGCAATAACGGTGGAAACAGCTTCACTGCAAAGCACCAGAGTACAGCTCCCGAGACTGCTCGGTCGTTCTCGGAACTCTACGTACTCTCGAGACTCTCCACACTACAACTCGTGATGCACTCGACGACACACAGAACACTGCTCCTGACTCTTCGGTTCAGTCTTTCCCGGAGCTTAATACACTCTCTCGACGATGCACTAACCGCGATACACTAAGAGACTCTTCGATGCACTCGACGACCCACTCGGCAGTCGCTGGCCGGCTGTTAACTCGATGTGACACACTTACTGACTCCTTACCAGCAGGGTTTATATGGCTTTCGACTTGTGTTCGAGAACATTCTGGTCTAAACCTGTAAGAATTCGTTCCAAAATGTTCTCCATTCGTAAATGGCATATCGCCAATTTTGTCGCCAAATGTGGCAACCCTGCTTTCCCTTGACATTTTATGGTAACCCTAAAACTGCTTTGCGGGGAATCTATCTCACCGCGCCTGTACATTTCGTAACAATACATGCCGTCTGGACGGCAACAAATAGTACTTTTGCAAATTTACAGTGACTCTGTACTTCTTGGACTTTTGCTGCAAATAATGTAATTCCCTTACGTTTACTTTTGCCTAGGTATTACATAATGCTCGATTTACTTCAATTTTATTACTTTCAAACCAGAAGAAAATTCCCGTGCAAAATTCTTTCGAACAAAAATCGCATTGTTAGATTCGTTTTAAATGCCACTCTAGTTAGATTCGCTTATGCGAGTTTAATTTCTGAAAAAATCCTTAATAACCTTGTACAGGATACTTCCTAATTAGAACAGCAATGTTAGACTTGCTGTATTTAGATTTGCTTGTGAGATGCATGTCGCTTTCGCGAGATACATTTCCTGTTTAAAGTCCTTGTGTAGGTTTCTCTGTAGTAATAACTGCTCTGCTAGATATGCCGTGTTATTATTTGCTTGCTATGTTCCATTAGCTTTAATGTGCTTGTGCGACACTCATTTTGCTTACGCACATAAAGCAAACAGGACTAACTGAAATGAAGAATCCCCAAGGTTATTGTAGCAACTTTACAGTGACGTTAAGTTCTGTGATTAGTTTTGTGAATTTCAAGATTTATTACAAATTTGCCTCGTAAATTCTACTCTCCTTTTTCCGATAAAATTCGTTCCTTACTAGGGCAAATTGCAAATGTATTCCTATCGTAGATATACTGTTGTCTTTACATTTTCTTTCTCCTGGACGGAGTTTAATTAAAAATTATATTCGTATGATTCCCTCCTTTTGCCTCAAAATATGCCAGTATTTCATGCTGGTAAATTCTTTGCTTATGATGTTACCAACTAACTGCCAACCCCCAAACCACCTTTTCTTTGACTCGTCTTCTTTTATCTTGTATAATTATTAATAAGTGAAAGGAAGTTAATTGAAAAAAATAAAGAGAAAGAAATAGAAAATGCTATTTGCTTACCTGTTTCTTCCGTTTTCGTTTGGACACTCGACGGGTAGCCATTGCGCAGTTTCTCAGATTTAGCCCGCAAAGGTTCTGGCCCTTGAGATGTTGAGGGCGATGACGGAGGAGGTATTTCTGGAAAAAAAATAATGATAAAATCGTAGTTTTAGACAGTACTTACGTATCCCGTCGACCGTGGAACTGTTGCCAAGCATCGCGATTTAGCTCCTGTTACAGATAACCATATTGTAACAATGCATTCATAAGACCTTCATTTGGTTTGATATAATACCGACTAATTCGCTTTGAACAAGGTTACAGATTAGCGGCTATTTCTGCATTTTCCTTCTATTTTGAATAAAATGATCGAAATTCGGTACCTATCTCCGACATAATAGGAAGCAGAGGATTGTTTCCAATATTATGTAATCTGCCATAGAAAGAAGTATGAATTAATGGGCACGGTATGGCCGACAAAACAGTAATAAATTGGAATAATCCCCTGGAGGTTTGTATTCATAGCGTTTTAAATCGAGACTCTGATTGTATCCGAGGGTCTAACAATTGACGAAAGCCCTTTTACTAAGCATGCGACATGCGACGGGGGACGTGGGCACCACCCCTTTACCGTCGGTTAATTGGTGTAGCGCCACGTCCACCAGTATCTAGAGTTGAACCTTGAGTCTTTCAAAAGAGCAATTACATGGCCATACAAGAGCTGTTAATATTTAGTATTACATTCTTGTTTGCTGGTTAACATATTCTATGGATAACGTGATTTACAGAGTTACATACTGACTTTGTCTCTCATTTCCGGCATACAATGCATATGCATTACCTGAATTACATTAATCTTACATTGCGTTGAATTACTTTTGTGTACAGTTACAGTTTTTAGATGTACATTTCAATAAATATATACCTACATTACTTGTAGATTGCATATAATACAGTTTGCATGTACAGTTACATATGCCAATATTACAATGTGCCTTACGTTACATTATTTTTATATACATACATAGTCAGGCACGCCTACTTCACATATTACTTAATTTTACTTACACACTGCTTAACCTTAGGTTACATATACTTGCCAGTTGCATACAGATACATGCAAATACATTCTGATTAATTTTTTAGATACAAATATTTACAAACATATAGTCTTACAGGTTACTTACATTACATGTTTATTTTGGGTACTTATTGCATAATTTTTTCCAGTACATGAAATAGACATTCCAATATATACATTGCTTTGCGTTAGACATCCTATATCCCTTATTCATAATACAAAACATATATGTTACCCATGCATTTTTATTAGACATTTCTGCATTTATGCAGAAATGTCTTTGCATTACTTTAAATTGCATTACTTTAAATTTAAGTAATAAAAAAATTGCATTACTTTAAATTGCGTAACTTACTTATACATATCTTACTGATACACAAAAATATTTACATATATTACACTCCCATACATTACTTTGCTTACAGATATATGCACTTTCATACATTCGTTATGCCTACATTATATATCGGTTCATTATATATGATCTTACGGTATAATTTGCCGAAATTTATTTACACAGTACATGCACACTGTTAAATGCAACTGATTTTCCAGGTATGAATACAGGCAGTCTTTATACTGTGAGTTTTTCTAGTCTACATTATAGTTTCTTACAATTCACTTGAATGACATTTTCCTATATTGCTATACATGTCCCTTTTTAAAATGCTTAAGTTGTTTTTTACATGCTGGGTTGTTCTATGGCTGACACAAGTCTGTATCTAAGTCGGACAGTCTGTCCATCAACTGTACCAGCTTTTTAATAAGTGCCGCTGTTTTATCATATATTTACAGAACGACTGGCGATTTGTTTCAGGAAGATTGATATGCAATCCTTCTGTTAATGGGCATGACGTTAGATAGTGCTCTGGTGAGCCTGAGTCGCCGCATGCCACATTGACTTGTGTGACTTATGCCACGCTTGAAGAATATTCCGGGTAGGGCCCATGCCCGGAAATGAACCCTTACCACTGTTGCGTTCGCTACATTTCGGCTATTGTCCACATAGCCGTGAAGTAGTGGTCCTTCTTCTGTGGTCCTTTGGTCCCATTCGTTCTGCCACATGCCAGTGGCCCTTAGGCGTAGTGTCTCTTTAAATACGAATGCGGCCATGGGATGAATAATTGGTGCATCATCAGGCGGGTCAGTTGTTGCCCCCTCTTTTGGCGAGTTGGTCAGCAAGCTCATTGCCATAGGGGCCAACATGAGCCTTTATTCCACTCTAATTTTGTGCGGTACTGGGGTTTGCTTCTAAGATCTCTCTGGATTCTTTCCTGTATTAATCTCCGAGGGATGATCTGCATTCCAAATGGCATATAACGATGATAATCTCCGTTTTAATGGTGACATGGCTATGCTGGTGCAAGTGCAGGTAGCGATCGCTTGTGCAATTGCCACTGCTTCGCTTTGAAAGACACTGTTATGTTGTCTTAACTGTCCCTTCCATTTCTCAATTGCGTTGTCTTGTTTCGTGGCGACATAGGCGCATCCCACTCTTTCGTCCAATCTAGACCCGTCTGTATAGATGGTCATTTCCCTTGAGTGATGAGTTGCAGTCGGATTAATTGAGATAAGTATCCCTTTGCCTTTCTCTGCCGGGTGGACGTCCGGTAGAAACTGGCAAGTAATAATCAATATTTATAATAAAAACCATAATAAGATCAAATGTTTTGTTCTTAAAATAATTTAGAAGGCTCTGCTAGAATACAACTTAAATTGAATTAGCAAACCAGTTCTTCTAAACAGCATGTAAATGTGGAACCACTAGCGGTCGAACAGTAGAGTCGCTGAACATTGATAGTTCGGTCCGAGGTTTGAATTCCAGCGAACGGGCTGGCTGTATGAGCGCTTTCGTGGGTTTTTGTGTGTGAAACGTGTATACGAACCAGTTTCCCTTAGAATGTCCTACAAAAAATCATCGCCCCCCTTAGGCAGATAGCCCTTGAGTGCTTTGCCATAATGAAATCAAAATTAAGCGTATCAGTATAAGGAAAATGTTTTTCTGAATTTTACCAGGTCAAAAATATTTAATGAAAAGAAAGAAATTAAAAATATTAATGCAAATATTTTTTTTTTTAAAGAACGAATTAAATTTATGATTAGAAGCTTAAAGAGCAATTTCGTTAGGAGGTGCCACTTTTAAGGCGAATGTGACTGAATTATTTTAACTTGCACCTTTTGCTTAGCAATTGTTTGACTAATCCCTTTCATTTTTTAATTCTGCATTTTGCCTAATGTTTGATTTGATAACTTTTGTTTCTTTTATATTTTATTATCGATGTTGATTGCTGTTAGCGCAAACATAATAAAATTTATGTCTTGTGTTCACTTGAGTGTTGCGAACAATGCATAAAAGCAGACTGTATATAAGTTTTACAACTTCTATTTTTTGCATGTAGCAACAAGTGTAGTAGTTCATAGAAGATTGTGTTTGTGACTGCTCTGTTGGTTGGCTCGGCATCCTTTCGTATCGAGAGTCTGCGTAACTACATAAAAGTGAAGGAAATATAGTTTATACATTGTGTGAGTTATATAGTGAACCATCCAAGCGATGCGTCCTTTTTTCAATAAGTCTAGCCGGAGAGTTAGTGAAGATTGTGACTGATTGTATTGTACGCATTCATTGTAAACATACAACTACGCATGTTACTGGTGAAAATTACTTCAGCTTGTGAGGTAAGTGAATATTGAACATTTATATTCTCTGTAAGAAAAAAATTGTTGAGAACTTATGTCTAAGAGCCTATTTGCTAAATTAATCGAGACTTTCGGAGAATAATATGGTCAGAGAGCCTTGTTAAACAAATATAAGTTTGGCTTTTAAACATTGTCATATATGGAAATGTAGCTGCTCCTTTTCTTGCAACTAAAATTTTAAGTCAGCAACTGGTGAAGGACTGAATTTTTCGAAGGCAAAGAATGTGGCTTTGAGAGATTTTTAAAGTTCTGTGTCATCTTGCGTTTGTATTATGCCAAATATAGTTTATAAGATGAACAGTTTATTGAGCTAACTAAAGTATGGAATGTTTTTTATATTGTTGGCAGCCAATTCAAAATTTGAAATTTATGAGTAGCATTTCGTAGTACATGCAGATGTAATAGAGTTCGTCAAATTAAAGTAACATTTTAACAGCTCCTATAATATTTCTTTTCGGTTTTGCATTTACTTATTTGATTTGCATGCGATTTAACAGAATACTGTGTTAGTAACCTAAGAAAAAGGAGAATTAGGGCAATCTGCATTGAGTTACATTTTATTAATTTGAATTTTATTATTGTTCAGCACTGACCAGTATTTAATGAAAACAAAACTTCACAAGAGCAGTTACAGAAGTTGGAAACAATTCCAAGAAATAATTATTTGCATTTTTTAAACATCAAATGATGAATTGTAAGTCAATATGTATTTAACCGGGCGAAGATTATCTGTGTACTAATATTTGATCTTAATATCAATTTTAAACTGATTTTTTTTTATAAAATTTTTAAGTATCACTTATAAATTTTAAAAAAAGAAACTTTAATTTGTTCGTTTTACTTAAATTTTAAGATAAAACACATAGCAATAATTCAAAGGAATTATTTAGTGATATATATCTGTACCTTATGTCAAACTAAAAATATTTGTAATTTTTATCATACTTAACAAGCATTAATTAGGTTAGGTATAAGTTCAGGGACCAGCTATTATTTACCCTGCGTAAGTAGGTAAGGCCCCTTACACTGCCTATCCAGATTAACGTCGCCTTCCTGGGGTCTACAGTGGCATTCTGGTGCCGAGGTGTTACAGGAATTTACTGGAAATGTGACATCGGAAGCTCTGCCACCGCTAGTGGTGTCATCAGTTGTCCCGTTTTATGTTCGAACTTGAGCAGATGAAGCATTTACACTGCTTCTAGATTATACATTAAACACTATATACAAGCAATGGTTATAACAGGAATTCATTGCACTGTTGCTTAAGTGATATGTTAGCCTGTTCGAACTGGTAGGAGATGGAATTTAACTGCATATGAAATGTGAAATGATTGCATTTTCATTTCACCTAGCATTTCGCC